AGTGGGTATTTCCATCTCAACTAACCCAGTCAAGGGACTTCTTTAAGGGCTGACGGATGGCCCCGCGGCTAAGAGCACTGGCTGCTCTTCCAGAAGACCCAGGTTTGGTTCCCACATGGCAGCTCACACCCATCTGTAACATCAGTCCAGGGATCTGACACCTTCTTCTAACCTGCGTGGGTACCAGGTATAGGCATGGTATAGACATACATGCAGGCAAAACATGCATACACATAAAATTAAATTAAAATAAAAAATAAAGAAATCTTGGCTGAATACTCAACATCTTTTTAGAGTCAAAAAATGTTTTGGTTAAACATTTTGATTTTATAATGGTTAAGTGTTGAAAGTGCCACTTCACATAAAACACACAATAAGAGAGCAAAAGTGTGCTGAAGGCCAGGTCAGAAATTGGTGAAAATTCTGTCCTAATCCCAAGACAAACTTCACTGAACAATTTTTTTATGAAAATAAAGTCAGCCAGGTAGTGGTGGTACATGCCTTTAACCCCAGCACTCAGGAGGCAGAGGCAGGCAGATCTCTACAAGTTTAAGGCCAGTCTGGTCTACATTGCAAGTTCCAGGACAGAAATAACAGCTCTGACAGGGAGAGGGACCTGGTGTCAGTGTCCTGGGTCGTCCTTGACTAATGACATGGTTTAACAGCAGGAGTTGACTCCCTTCAGGGGCTAAAGGTAAAGCTGTGTATGGCTGGGCCAGCCCCTGCTTCTGGAGGGTTCCTGGCAAGCCTTGGTGTTACTCACCTGGAGCCCTCCTGTTTGCAGGCCACCTTAGGTCTGTATGCTGCATAGCCTCCTCTTCATGCCCCTCCCCCCTTTTTAAGGAGCCAGATGCTTCCCAACTCTTCGCTGATACCAAGTATGGGAGTTTGAATGTAATTGGCCCTCAGAGTCTCAGAAGGAATAACATAGGTGTGGCTTTGTTTGGAGTGGGTGTGGCCTTGCTGGAGGAAGTGTGTTACTGTGGGGGCAGGCTTTGAGGTTTTCTATGCTCAGGATACCACCCAGTGTCTCAGTCAACTTCCTGTTACCTATAAGATGTAAGACTTCAGCTACTTCTCCAGCACCACGTCTGCCTACACACCACCATGATTCCAGTCATGATGATAATGAAATGAATCCCTGAAATTTTAAGTGAGCCACCCCAATTAAGTGTTTTCTTTATAAGAGTTGCTGTGGTCATTGTGTCTCTTCACAGCAATAAAAACCCTAAGACACCAAGTACGACAGGCCCCAGCCACTCTTGAGCAGGCCTTCCTTACTCAAGTATAAACACAAGCAAACTCCAGCTGGACAGACTGCTAAGACCCTACTGCCAAGTAGATGCAGTGGACCAGCAGCAGGCCCCTGCGCTTGAGAGCAGGCTCAGGAGCTCGTGTTTCAAAGGTACAACACCCAGTGGCAACAGTAAGGCTAGGAGAACTGCACCAGCACCCCCAAATCTTCAGTCCTGTCTTCAGACCCCTGGGCTTCACTGATGCATGCTCTCCATTAGAGGCTATGAGGATCCATCCATGGAGCATGGAGGCAGGCACTCCAGCCCTGCAACCAGGGGTGTGGAAGGCAGCCCTGGGGAGCTGAGCACAGAAACGCAAGGAGTGACTTCCCTTCTTGAAAAGCTAACTTGAAATCCTAGCCGGCTTAACTTCTGGGAGAAGTGACCAAATCCCTATTCACCCCAGATGGGGCCCCAGTGACAGACCAAAGCACAATTCTACCAAAGTCCAACCTGGGGAACTAATGAGTTTATAGGTGGTGATTTCCAGGAGCATGGGACACCCCAAACAGCTGTGTCATCACATAATCCCACCCACTCCACCACAATTGAAGATCTCATGGGAGCTGCATAATCGAGCCCCATTTCCCTATTTCCTGTGTACTCTAGCACCCCAGAAGATCTCTGCTGCTGGGGACAGCAAGGAGAAGCGGTGGCCTTCTCTGGAGGAGTGTTATTGCCTTACCCTGACCATGGACCTGGTTATCCCTGTGACTAGATGCCACAACTACCTACTCCACATTTCTACCCCATTGGAAGACAGTGGTGGAGTGAACAACACAGAGCCACAGGTCACTGACCTTTGGGGGCTGGAGTCCCACAACACCTCACTTTCTCTGACACTTAGCCCTGTGACTTCGGCTTCCTGAGACACACACCAATTCCTGCCTCTGTCATGACAGTGGGAACAACTAAGGACACCCCAAAATTGACATGGGAGCCTCCCTTCCAGGAAGTCTCCCTGCCATCTCCCTGCAGGGTGAGTGCTCCCCTATCTCTGGGCTCCCAGAAGGCAGTGGTGTTCATCATGAAAGATCCCACAGGCTGGGTGGTGGTAGTAACACACCTTTAATCCCAGCACTCAGGAGGCAGAGGCAGGTGGATCAAGTTTAAGACCTGCCTGGTCTACAGAGCCAGTTTCAGGACAGCCAGGGCTACACAGAGAAACTTTGTCTCAAAGGAAAGAAAGAAAGATGGAAGGGTGGGAGGTATGGAGGGAGGGAAGGAGGGAGGGAAGGAGGGAGGGAAGGAGGGAGGGAAGGAGGGAAAGAGGGAGGGAGAGAGGAAGGAAGGAAGGAAGGACGGGCCCCCACAGAAGGGTCTGGGGCATCTGACAGCCCCTTCAGTCACTGTTCCTCCTGATACCGGTTCCTTCTTTATAAACCCGTGGTTTCCTGGATCTGCTAAATTCAAGACCTATCACGGGTTCAGCTGAGCCAGAAACCAGTCTAGAGCAGTTGGCACAAACCACTCTCACCCGCTGTGCTTCATGCAGCCATTCACAGTCACTCCGCCAGCCCATGTTGCCATCCGTAGTCTTGCACATGGAGACTTAGTGGAGTGGTGGTATAGAAAAGTCAGGACTAAACCAGGCGGTAGTGGCAGATGTCTTTAATCCCAGCAATCGGGAGGCAGAGGCAAATGGATCTCTGTGAGTTCGAGGCCAACCTGGTCTAACATTACAATTTATTAACAGTAGAAAGATTACAGTTATGAAGTAGTAACAAAAGTAATCTTATGGTTGGGGGTCACCATAACATGAAGACTGTATTAAAGGGTCGCAGCATTAAGGAGGCTGAGAACCACTGTTTTAGAATGTGGGGTGCTTCATCACTAGCCACTGTGTGGTTGGGAGCACCCAGCCAGAGCTTCTGGGGTGTTTTACCTTGCTTGTGTCTCATCACTACAATCCTACAAAATCAAACTTGGCTACAGGGCTGGAGAGATGACTCAGCAGTTAAGAGTGCTTGCTACTCTTTCAGGGGTCCTGAATTCAATTCCCAGCAAACCGATGGTGGCTCACAGCCATTTGTAATGAGATCCAGTGCCCTCCTCTGGTCTGCATACGTGCATGCAGAACACTGTATACATAAAAAAATAAATAAATCCTTTAAAACAAACAACAACAACAACAAAACAGAGTGCCTGCTGCTTTTGCAGAGGACCCAGCTTTGGTTCGGAGCACATGTGGTGACTGACACCCTTATGGAACTCCAGTCCTAAGGCATCTGATGCCCTCTTCTGATCTCTGCACGCACTGCCACCATGTGGTGCAAGTAAAAACCTCATACACAATGAGAGTTCACCAAGGCCAGTTGACTGGGACTGAGCAGGCACGTGATCCAGCCAGATTCTCTGAATGAGGCCGGATTCTCTGAATGTGGCTGGCCCGGAGTCTTTCTGAAAAGCCATTGACAATGACACTGGGACTTGTTTCCTCTGCATATACTGGATTTCTGGGATCCAGTCTGTTTGGATGCTCACCTTCCTGGACCTGGAGGGAGCGGGGAGGAGCTTGAACTACCCACAGGTCGGGAGACCCTGACTGCTCTTGGGGATGGAGAGGGAGGGAGGGAGGGAGGGGGGAGTGGGAGGGGGTTGGGAAGAGGGGCGGAAATGGAGACTTTAATAAACTTTGAGAAAAAAAAACAAAAACTCATACACACTGAAGAAACTCTAGCAGGCCCGAGCACGGCCAACATGGCTCTGGCAGGCCTTGCCCTTCCCAGTCCCTCTGCTTTGCTAAACTTTTAGACTCATTCCTAAAGCTAGCCACCAAGGTCTATTCCCCCTATTTGACCACACAAACCCCAGGCTGACTACCAAGGTCCAGTTACCAAAGTACTGAAGTCCAGCAATCAAAAGCCCCCTTTTTGGCTGCCCTAATTAACACGTTCAATCAAAACAAAACATCTCATCCTAACATAGGGTTTCCCCCTCTTATCTTTATAAACTGCCATCTGCCTATGGGCCATGTCTACCTCCTCTCCAGAGACAATCCTTTGTCCCTCTGGGGCAGATACCCCTCCCCCTCTCCTTTATAATCCTTTCCCTCATCCTCTATCTCCCATCTTTGTCTCTTATTTTCTGACCTTTGTCCTTCTGCAGCAAATAAATTTCCTCTGTGCTGATTTATTTATATATTGGTTTCTCAAAACTGGGTTTCTCTGTGCAGCCTGGCTATCCTGGAACTCACTCTGTAGACCAGGCTGGCCTTTGACTCAGAGATCCGTCTGCCTCTCCTCCCAAGTGCTGGTATTTAAGAGGTGTGCCACCATCGCTCAGCAATAATCTTTATATTTTATTTTTTATTTTTTTTAAAATATTTATTTATTTATTATGTATACAATATTCTGTCTGTGTGTATGCCTGCAGGCCAGAAGAGGGCACCAGATCTCATTACAGATGGTTGTGAGCCACCATGTGGTTGCTGGGAATTGAGCTCAGGACCTTTGGAAGAGCAGGCAATGCTCTTAACCGCTGAGCCATCTCTCCAGCCCCTAATCTTTATATTTTAAAAACTCCTCACTAACACTAGCTTTACTGGGAAGAACTTCATTCTGCATTTAGCCTCGGGCTGAAATCGGTACCATAGCCACAAACAGGCTACCTGTTGGAGATTACACGGTATCCTTGCAGGTCTGAGGCCCTGTGTTTAGTGACTTTTCTCATCCTTGCTGTGACAAACAACCCCAAAGAGGCAAGTTAAGGGATGAAGGGGTTTATTGGGTCACAGTTAATAAGGTGACAGTTATCGGGGTGGGGAGGCATGGCAACAGGAGCCCGAGGCAGACAGTCACATTATATCCAGTCCGGAGGCAGAGAGACATGTACACTGGCACCCAGCTTGCTTTCTCCAGTTCACGGGACAGAGCAAACTCAGGGTGGGTCTTCCCTCCTCAGCTAAGCCTCTCTGGAAACACCCTCACAGCCATGCCCAGAGGTGTGTCTCCTAGGTGATTCCAGATCCTGCAGAGCTGGCGGTCACAAGCCCTGCCCTGTGACTGCAGATAAATCTGTAGGTGACTGAGGGAGAATGAGATCACTGGTAGTCCCTGTTCAGTCAGGACACAGCTGTGCAGGAGACACAGGCAGCAGGCTCAGCAGAGATTTGGGAGGAGCCAGTCCTGACACCTCTGGCCTCCAGCATGTGACACACTGCCGCTCATAAGGGATGGCATCAAAGCTAAAGTCACAGCAAGGCCACTCTGCCAGAGAGCCGGCCACAACACGGTAAGATGGGTGACAGAAAACAGTCCAGCAGTGGAGACACTTAGAGCTCACAGGACATGGTCTGAGAAGGCAGGGGATTAGCTCGCAGCTCAGTAGTGACATTAAGGACACACGTTCCACAGGGGCCACTCTACCACCCTGAGGTGCAGCTTCACCGCAGCGCCCTGTGGTTGTCGATGGCAGTTCTGAGTATCAGCTGCGCGGGATGACATTTAGAAGGAGCATCCTTCTCATGACTATGTCACCTTTCACAGGAGACACAGCCATCTCAGTGGGGGAAGAGGGACACACCCACATGGCAGAATGCTCCTCTGCACTGTCTATACTGGGATCCAGAGACCTTTTGGGGTGACCAAAGTGTGCTGGGGATTGGATGGGGCCCTTGAGAACACAGGAGGTATCAGACAGGCGGCTGTGGCAATGCTGATGGGTGGGGACTCTAACACCTATCTACAAGGTGAGGGGAATGGGGGAACAGACAAAGAGCTGAGAGGGAAAGGGGGCAGAGACAAGGGAGGAACTAGTAACTGCTACCTGTGGTAGCAAGTCCACGGCAGAATGTGACAGGACACCTCAGCATCTTGGCACCGGAGGACTCCAGCAGCTTTCAGGACAATGATACCAGACAGACTGTCGCTGTAAAACACATTGTTTATTCTTTTCTCCAAAGAGAAAAGTAAACTATGATCAAAACAGCAGCCACAGCTCTCTGGGCTCAGCACCCAGAGACGCTCACTGAAGAGCACCTGATCCTGGGAGCAGTTGGAGGATGGTATGAGACTCTGAGAGGCCACTGCCAGGCTCAGGAAGCCAGATGCGTGGCACCCCGAGCCTCAAGCACCAGCACCATCCCTCTCTGGCTAGGCTGGGCTGACGGAACGAGGGAAGAGCTCCAGCTGTACCTACTCTATCAAGATGCTAAGAAATGATATTAAAAACAGTGTCCTAGGGCCACAGGTCTGAGATCCCAGCACTCATAAGGCTGAGGTAGGAGGATCACCCTTTAAGGCCAGCTTAAGTATATAGTGAGACTCTGTTTCTAAGAGAAAATTAAAATTAAAAATAAAAAAACCAAAACAAAGTGGCACACATCCACGGTGACCCCTTCACATCATGCCTTAGAACTGAAGTAGGGACAGTCAGGGTACACTGGAGCAACCCAAAGGAGGGCATATCAACACATGCTGCCATGTATGTCCACGCCTGTGAAATGGTATATACTGAGCCTACTCCTGCTAGCTCACCTAACACCTGCCTGTGAACACCATACAAGACCCGCAAGCAGCTACTAAAGAAGCATGGCACACAGGCAGGCCCCTGGACATCCACAGTGGCAGTCACCATCTGGTCCTGCTCTGGTGCCCAGTGGTCCCCCCGCGGCCACTTCTTAATGTGCAGAGCTCATCCCACACTTGGGGACAGCATGAAGGCCATGTCTCGGCTTCCTGGGGATCTGACTGGCCTTGCCTTCTCAGTTGGGCATCCAGAGGCAAACCAAGCCCAATGGAGTCTGAACCCTGTACGCACTGCAGGAATCTGGGTCTTCTGCGGCAGAGGACAGGGTCCCAGTGGTGCAGGCACTGACGACACATGCTCAAGGCAGAGGCACTGTGTGGCACTGCAGGACATGGATCTAGGGTAGCAGGCAGCTCTGCTGGCAGGCTGTTACACCAGGTGGGTCTACTTTATCACCTCTAAAGTGGAACGGCACCCACCTCTGGGACTGCCGGAGGAGCGGAGTAAACCAAAGGAAGCCCAAGTGCGGTCGGCAGAGAACCTGCTGCGGCTCCCCATTAAGGGCTTTTACATCAGCCTGCCTGAGTCCTACCCTCAGGGCGATCCAACCCAGGACCACTGGGGTGACAAAGCTACTCACTCTGGCCAGCAGTGAGCAATCTCTTGAGGGTGCTGCCAGGACCCTGTGGAGAAGGCAGGGTAGTGACATCTCGGCTGGCCAGCCAGCCAGTGAGAGTTTAGGGAAGAGGCCACACTGGTCCTCTCATGGAACAACGGGTGCCACTCAGGCTCGCCTTTAATCACTCTGACACTTAATGTGCAGACATGTGCTCTTCTGAGTCCTCAAAACGCAAGTCTGGAGCCTCCTGCGGTCACCCTGAAGTCTGGCTGCACGTTGAGCAGTGAGCATAGCTGAAAGTACCCAAGAGATGGCGTCTCATCACAGTGCCTCACACCCCCTGAACTTCTGCTAGCCCCACTTTCCTATCCCAGCACCACCCCACAGGCAATGTCGCCACACCGTCCCCAGCCCATCTCAGTCATTCTACAAGGGGCTGGGGAATGAGACATGGACACATGCTGCCCAACACAGCCATCACACGACCCCTAGGGCTGTGCCCGCCCTGCCTTTATAGTGCACTCAGGCACACCCCAGAGAGAGGCTGTGGAGCACAAACCTGTCTGAACTTCCCTCTGATTCTGTCCAGGTCTTCATGGAGCCTCTCGTAAGTGGGGTCATCATAGGGGAAGTGTTGCAGCAGTGTGATCAGCGCCTCCACCACCTTCATCTTCCTGCTGCCATGTATGGGGGAGAGAGGCTGTCACCCAAGGCCCCGCTCCATTGCATCTCAGAGCAGTGGGTAGGCTAAGCTGCCTCTCTGCTCCTGGCAGTGCTGGCCTCCATCTGCTGTGGAGCAATCACTCACCACAGGCCCCCACCCTCTCCGGAAATACAGGCTGGAGCAAGGGAGACTACTGCAAAAGGATGGCTGTCAGTCTAGGCTGTGACTGCCACCCGGTGGTGGCATGAAAAGCCAACATCATTCCTCCAGGATCAGTCCCTCCGGGCCACTCCTAAAGCCACGAAGAACCCTTGCCTCTCACCCGCTCACACTAAAGACACAAATAGAGAGCCAGGCATGGTAACCCAAGTCTTTAATCCCAGCACTCAGGGGGCAACAGAAGAATCTCTTTGAGTTTGAGGCCAGCCTGGTCTAAATAATGAGTTCCAGGACAGTCTGGACTAAATAAATCTTGTCTTAAATTTCACAAAAGGAGGAAGAAGGAAAAAAAAAATGCCGCATAGTATGAATTCCTTTAATCCCAGTACTCAGGAGACAGAGGTAGGCAGACCTCTGTGAGCTTGAGGCCAGCCTGGTTTACAGAGCAAGTTCCAGGACAGCCAGAGCTACACAGAGAAACCCTGTCTCAAAAAACAAAGAGAAGCCAGTAAATCATGTGGTGGACAATCAGAGAAAGAACCCCAGAACTCCACAATTAGTCACAAACGCCTTGCTCTTACTTTTGAATGAGTGTGGTATGAGTCCTAGACACTCAAAGTGTCAAACAAAAGGGTGAGTCCCACAGGGAGCTGTCATCCTCTTGGCCTGGCTTGCTAATACCCTCCTCTGGGACCTCCTATTCTAGGCCAGGAGCTATAGGAAGACTACACAATGCCAGCTTCACCCTATGCTTCTGCACACAAGGGAAATATGCCTTTCACTTCAGGGCTCCTCCCAGCCTCGGGAAACAGACAGATGGGGCAGCTCACAGGACCAAAGCGGACAGAACACAGTAAGGCAAGGTACCAAAGCTAACATAGCTCGAAGAACAGTGACAATCACTAGAGACTATGTGTGTGCCAAAAAGGATTACTTCAGGATGACTTCCGGCTGGCTGTGGTGGTACATGTCTGTGAGCCCAGCATATAAGAGGCTGAGGCAGAAGGATGGCTGTGAGCTAAAGGCCAGCCTGGGCCATAGTATAAGCCCCTGCCTCCCAAAAAGATAATACTGTGTTCTGGTTGGCTATGAGACACCATGGACAACAAAACCAGCAATTCTTTCTTTTTCCCCTCTCTGGTCCTAGCTGTACTAGAACTCCCTATGTAGACCAAGTTACCCTTAAATTCATAGAGATCTGCCTGTCTCTGCTGAAATCAAAGGTGTACACTGCCAAGTCTGGCACAGCAACCATTCCGAGGCCTCGCTTCATTGACAGTACTGCAGTCTGTTATCAGACGCCTAAGAGAGAAATGGACAGGAAATAGAATCCACCAGACATTACCCTAGGTGTGACATCACCCAGTGCTCATCAAGTACCTATGAGGTGCCTGTCACATTTTACTTATTATTCTTTGAATAACAAAGTCAAGTTAGCCATTACTATTTTCTGTATGAACAAATGACACAGATACCTATGCACACATTAGGAACACTCAGAGTTCCTCCCAGCCTTTTCACTGATAACATGCTGATGGGAGGTGGGAGGGAAAGGTGGGGAGAGGGAAAGGTGGGGAGAGGGAAAGGAGGTGAGAAAGAAAGGGATAGGAGGGGAAGGAGGAAGGGAGCCTCAGCCTCACCTGTCTTTCTCGCCTGTACCACTGTGTAGGAGACACTTCCATGCAAGAGCAAAGCCACGGTAGCACCCAATCTGTGAATTGAAAACCAGCCCAGAGTGAAGGCGGTAAGCAATCAGCCACACCACACCAGTTACCAAGATCTCAAAGCTCAAGGCCGGACAGGGGATTGCCACAAGGCTTCTTCAGCTATTCTGAAGCCTGTGAGTTTTGGGCAATGGAAACTGAATGGTGACAGCCCCAACGGGTGAGCCAGGCCCCAAGATGACAGCAGTGATGCTCATCCTCTATGACGCTGTGAGCTGGTTCCTTGCCCCTCATCCTGGGTTCGTGTATGCACAACAGCACAGAGGAGAGGAGCGTGCTCAGCTGCTGAGGACATAGAAGAAGAGTGTCTAGTTCCTGGGGCTGGGTAGAAAAAGCAATGCCACTTCTGCCTTTCCTCACAGGCTACTTGCCCTGGGGTGTCATGAGGACACTAGTTACAAGGTGTGCTACCTCAGGAAGAGATCCCCTGGTCCAGGTAAGCCTGCAGATGAGACTAGAGCCCTGCTGACCCTCGGACACTGTGTGGCACAACCAAAGATGGTTGTTTTGGGCCCACCAGTCTGTAGGACCTGCTTTGTGGCATCAGGTACCTGATACTGTCATGACCTCCTCTGCCAGTCAGGGTCAGTGATCTGTAAGAGGACAAAGGCAAAAGGAGAAAAACTGTGGGGTTTATGGAATTCCACTGTAAACATGGCACCCCTCTGGGTGAGGACTGAGCTGGCTGAAGATGCAAGACAGCACTGTGCTACTCCCATAACATACTTTGGTGGTTCTGTGCTAAGAATTTTCTGTCTGATCTATGAATCCCTACCAAAGGCCTTGCAGTAGGAAGTGGTTAGATGTTTTAGCTTCAACAGCAATGGAACCAATTGTAGAGGAAAAGGATCCATGCCTTCGTTCTTTTCCTCTAGGTCACTGATTTTCAACTTGTGAGTCTTGACCCCTTTGGGGTTGCATGTCAGATACGTATATATTACAATTCATAACAGTAGCAATATTATAGTTGTGAAGTAGAAACAAAATAATTTTATGGTTGGGGCCACCACAACATGAGGAACTGTTTTAAAAGGTTGCAGCATTAGGTTGAAAACCGCTGCTGTAGGCAATGTTTCAAAGTTATGGCCTTAAGCATGCTGGGTGCATGCTCTGCCACTGAGCTACTTCCCCGGCCTCTGTTTTTTGAGGCAGTAGCTCACTCTTTAGCCCAGGCTGGCCTAGGACTCCTGCCTCAGTTTTCTGAGTGCTGGGATCGCAGGATGGATCCCCTGTGACAGAGGATGGATCACCACACTCATCTATGGAGTTCCTCCTAAGTGGCCCTCCCACTTACCTCAGATCCAATTTTGGCTCCGTGTAATGTGCCATACTGCCTTCCTTCGACGATCCCCAAGCTGCTGCCTTCTTCATAGCCTTCCTGATACCCCTCCCCATGGAATCTGTGACAGAGAAACACACTTTATCAGGTAAGACACTGTTCCTTGAAAAATCTTCCCACCTTACATTATCCAGGTTCCCATAGGACACAGTAGACTACAGGAAGAAAGGGTTAAAATTCAAGTCACGCCAGGTGGTGGCACGTGCCTTTAATCCCAGCACTCAGGAGGCAGAGGCCTGTGGATCTCTGTGAGTTCAAGGCCAGCCTGGTCTACAGTCAAGTTTCAAGACAGGCTCCAAGGCTACAGAGAAATCCTGTCTTGAACCCCTCCCCCAAAAAGCCCAAAAAACCCCGAGTCACAAAATGCAGGTTCTAGGCCTAGTTCTCTACTCTCTGGCCCATTACTGTGCCCCAGCCCCATTGCTAAGACAGCTCTCACTATACAGTCCACGCCAACCTCCATCAAGTAATTCTTTCCATTTCTTGAATGCTGAGATTACAGGTGTGTGCCACCACCTCCATGTGAAACCATGATGCTTATGGGCTTCATGCATGCTATGAAAAGCACTCTACCAACTGATGTACAGCCCCAACCCCTAGGGACCCAAGTTCCTTCATCTGTAACCGTGGGTGGGATACATGAGTGACTTCCAAACTTGGCAGAGCACAGAAACCCACAAGTAAAATGTAAAAATACAAACTCAAACAAGTTTAGTCCACACTAGAAATCTACTTTTCAAAAAGAGCAGGTGTAGCTGAGCTTACATGCCATCGTAACTCAAGTCTCTAAAACACTCCCAGGACTCAGGAGTAACAGAAAACACCCGTAAGCTCATCACAGTATGCCAGCACTACGGTGCTCTGACTAGATGGTATTGTCTCTGAGGAATCAACCAAAAATTGGCAGTAACTTGAAGCCTGCACTGTGGATGGAATGCTCTGGAAGCCCGCGTGAGGAGTGAACAGCTCCCCACTTGGCAGGTGGGTGGCCTGGGGAGCGCCTCTGCCTCCGCAGATGTCAGGACCCCACTCCCTAAGCAGAGATTGAGCAGTCACCCCGGAGAGTTGAGCAGCCGTCCAGGAAAGGCCAAGATGCCCTGGGCCACCGCTCCGCCCAGGCATTTCCCCGGGGAACTTTACACATCCAAAGGGGCCTGCCCGACACATCCATCAGCAGGTCCATGAATACTGCCGTATGTGCGGCAATTAAAGAACAAGAAGATGTGGCAGCTCGCAGATGGCGAAGGCGGGTGTCCCCGAGGACTGCGGGACTCCGCCAAGCAGCTGCCGGGGCGGGGCGGAACTGGGCCACTGCCTACCTCTCATCCGCCATCACGACGGCGTCGAACATGTCCTGCTCCACAACCGTGGCGGCGGCCCGTTTCTCCCCGGGCCCTCGCACTCCTGCCATTCTGTGTAGTAGTCGCTACCTGGCGAGGAACGGCTACAAACACCCGGCTTGTCAGCTGGAGGAAGCCACTTCCGCCCGTGCTGCGCGGAGCACGGCGGGTAGAGACGGCAAGCGAAAGAAGCCAAAAAAATAAAATAAAATAAAATCCTTACCGCGCATGGGCAGATCCCGCTCCTCCTCCCAGGCACCTCCCTCTCCTCTGAGAGTGGGGCGGGTCCGGCCGCGCAGGGATGCTTCGCTGTGCGGCGCGCGGGGCCCAGGCGAACCCAGCTTTTATTTTCAAAACCCAAACAGATGGGACCGAATTTACAAACGTAGGTCTTAAAGAAATGGGAAAAATTATCAAAGATCTAGCACAGGAGCATTCCCAGGAAGTGGAGGAAGGGCCCCAGCTGCAGGCATCATGGAGGAGGGTGGAGCATCCAGCAGCCTCAGCTGTCACTCACTACATCTGCACACCCCACAGGAGACTTTCCTATGGGCTGGAACCGATTTGATACTGCGACATCCTGAAAGACAAATAATAAATATTGCCCCCAGCCAGGAAAATGTCCTGGGGGGGCGGGGAGGGTCTCTGAAAATGAAAAAGGTTGTGTGTGCCAGTTACCTTGTTTTTTTTTGGTCTTTTTTGTTATTTTGTCTTTTTTTTTTTTTTTTTTTTTTTTTCTGAAGCTGAGGACCGAACCCAGGGCCTTGCGCTTGCTAGGCAAGCGCTCTACCACTGAGCTAAATCCCCAACCCCGAATGCTAGCTCTTGCTGCCAGTATTTAAAGCAAAACTGAAGTATTTCATACACAGTCAAGTATCAGGTGGCACCGAAGGGCTTGCCAGCAGGAGGAGCCACTCTGTCCAAGCGCTCCAATCTCATGGGCACCCACTCTCCAAAAGGCAGAAATTGAAGTTAATCCATTTCCATCAGAGCTACCTTCCAAAGCAGAGCTTTGAAGAGTATGCCAGGCTGTCAAGAAGGACATGTGAGATCCCAGGAGCCCTCAGGTGCACATAAATCAGGAAAAAACAAGAAAAATTTTATCATACAAGATTAGGCACCAAGGAGGACAAGGGTGTCACTACTGCAGATGCACACCCACCATGACAGCAAAAGATGTCTAAAATAGCAAGGGCCGGGATCCACCAGCAATAGCCTGGCCCGGAGTGCTGATGGAAGAGAGGCTTTATGGGGACCACGATAAGTTTCTTAGACCACAGTTGCTGACAAGTTAAATAGCCTTTGCGTAAAGGAGACCAGAGACACCCCATTATACTGGGTCAGAGACCAGAGGCACCACACCATTATACTGAGTTGTAAAGGAGATCAGAGACACCACACCATTATACTGGGTCGGAGGGCTGAACCAGTGAACAACAACAAAATTCCATGGGATTCAGAAGCTGCTTCTTTACAGATGAGAATCCTTAACTGTAACAAGCTGGGGGTTTTTTTTGTTTTTGTTTTTGTTTTTTTAATGAGAACTGCCATACTGCCATACCAGATACAAAAAAGCTTAAAAAGCTTAAGTCTCACGATGAGCATAGCAAGGTGTTGGTTGAAGAAGAGTTGAGACTGGGTAATAGACTAGGAAGGCCCAAGGATGAAGTCTCCTATGAGTAAAACTCCACAGATTAAAAACAGAGTCACAAGCTCTGCAGAGGACTGGAGCATTAACCACCAGCCATGTTGGGGATGTATTGGTATCTCAGGAGAAACAAGTCCTGTGTGTACCTCACACCACTCATCAGAATAATTCCACATTCCATAAGTAAAGAGGTGACCTTTAGAAAGGATGCTGGGCATGGAGGTGCACACCTTTAATCCCAGCACTCGGGAGGCAGAAGCAGGAGGATCTCTGAGTTCGAAGCCAGCCTGGTCTACAGAGTGAGTTCCAGGACAGCCAGGGCTACACAGGGAAACCCTGTCCCAGGGAGAAAAAAAGTCTTTAAAATGGGTACAAAGTAAACTTGTTCTAGAAGCAGGCAGACAGTTCCCATCTGTCATTCCAGCATGCGAGAAACCAAGGCAAGACGACTGCTACTGAGTTCAAGGACAACCTGGGCTACAGAGTGAGTTCCAGGCTGGCCTGGGCAAAAGAAAGAGACTATATCTTAATAAAAAAAAAATGTTTAGCAATAGATAAATGAATAAATTCATCCTAATAGGGTAAAATAACAGGCCAATGGGCCCTTTTTAAGTCACAGAACTGAACAACAGGTGTCTGGCCTTTAAATCGGGGAGAGTCTTACTTACAAGGAATAGAATGCCTAGAAAGAGCATCAGAGACAGCATCTCCTTCCAAGATGTTTAAAATCCCCCTGCCGCTCTCTGTTTTAGTTTTAAAGGGACTTTTGTGTTCACAGGTGTATGAATTTGGGCTGCCTTTTGGTAGATGGTTCAAAAAGGTAGGAAGGTCACTGGAACACTCTGTCCCCTTTGACATGGTTGTTTCGTCTCGGGGAAGCAGCTAGAGAGTGGCGATTTTACATTCTATCATGAGCACTGTGCTGAGTCTTGTAAAACTGAGCTGGGTTTGGCGACACACACAGAGAACAGTGCACTCAGGCCCTCGGAGACTTGCTTAAACTTAACACAAGAAAAATGGCAAAACGTCAGCTGTGGCCCCAGTGACCTTTGAACTTCTCCCTTTGTGGTCCTGGAACATCCATGACCATAGGGCACTGACCAGTTCTTTCTCTGTGCTAGAAATCCCAATGACGCGTAGATTTTGAAGATAGAATGAAGAAGGTTCTCCGCTGTTTCCTAAATGTCTTTTTACTTTTTCTTGACCAAATAAAGTCAGCAAAAACTTGTAATGCAGAGATTGGGAAACAAGCAAGCACAGTAGAGCATTTCTCCAGTTCCATGATCGCCAATTTCCTTTCATAAGATTTCCCCCATAAATTTATATCCCCCTCTAACAATGTACACACCATTATCCTTTCAGCATGTCTCCAATACACTTATTATTGTTTGCATATCTGAAGCATAAAAACTTTTAGCTGAAGTCAGGAGGTGGCGGTGCACACCTTTAATCCCAGCACTCGGAAGGCAGAAGCAGGTGGCTCTCTGTGAGTTCGAGGACAGCCTGGGCTACAGAGTGAGTTCCAGGACAGCCAGGGCTATTACATAGAGAAACTCTGTCTCAGAACAAATAAACAAAAATCTATTAGCTGAGATAAAAAAATAATAGATAGTTTGACATAGAAAGATGGTTATGGAGGAGAAAGGAGAGGACTACTTACAGATAAAGCCTCATGTTGGGGGCTGCAGACCCCAGGCCCCTTGACTTTCTTTGCCTGCCTCAGACCCTTTGCCTGCTGGCGTGAACTGAGCAAAACAACTTGTTTACCTGTGCCTGCAGCAGCTGCTCGGAACACGAGACCCTGATGGCAGGGGAGCAGGTTCTGGCGAGGTCTGCAGCTGAAAGATCCCGAGGGCTGGGGCATGGCTATCAGTTAAGGATCCCTATATAAGCTTCCCTGGAGCACAATCAAGTTGGCATTCTTGTATCAAGGATGACCCGTGTCCCCGTGTCTTTGTGTGCGTGTGTTTTTAAGTCTCCAGCCTAGTTCCCGGTTCACATACCATAGAGTATAGAGTAGCTGTGTTTTACAGCCTGGGGCTAGGGTTCTACAGAAGAATGTAACTTCGTGTCATATTTTTAAATAATTATGTAAAGTGCAGAGAAATAATATATATCGCAAAACTCCAGACTATTGGTTGTGATTCTTAGTTCGGAACATGGCTTTGGTGAGACTCACCCCTGCTCACCCTGGTTTCATTCCTAAATATCTTTTGAATCCAGCTTGTCACAACATCAGGAGCAAAGAGACCCATAATGCTAACTTGAATTGTCAAAGTCATGTTTGTATATTGCTTTATTCTCCATAAGGTCCAGACTTTAAAAATGGGACCTTAAAAGCAAGTGGGGGTGGGGACTGGGAGTGTGGCTCAGTGGCAAAGCACTTGCCTAGTGTTCACAAGGGTTTGGGTTTGAGGCCCACCTCAGTCAAAAGAGCTTCCAAAGAGCCAGACGTGGTAACATTTTTAAAGTACAACTATTACTGCTTTCAAAATTCCTACATAAGTTTCAAATTCAATGTTCATTTTAGTCACTGCACATGTTAAAGTTGTGTGGGAGCAAATGGAAATGCTCTTGCTGATGTCTGTTTGGGGAGGAATCAATTGTAGCAGTCACTTCTGTAACATGGGAGAATTACAGCCCAAATGATAACGTTGGACAGATGGCCTGAGAAAGGCTGGGAGGGATCAACAAAAGACCTAAGCACGTTTTCAGGTGTCTGGAGAACTGTGTGAATTCTATTTAGGTCGGTAGTTTTAGATTGCTTTTGCTGGACTAGAGATATGGCTTAGTGGCAGGGCATTTACCTACCATACATAAGGTTCCTGGTTCGATCCCCAGCTTTGCTAGTGTAAAGTTATTATTAGTATTTTATTTTTGACAAAATGTACAAATGGGATGGCAGATCAGCTTTCAGAAATCCAACGTACTAATACTAAACACTTTTTTTTTTTTTTTTTGGTTTTTTGAGACAGGGTTTCTCTGTAGTTTTGGAGCCTGTCCTGGAACTAGCTCTTGTAGACCAGGCTGGCCTCGAATTCACAGCGATCTGCCTGCCTATGCCCCCCAAGTGCTAGGATTAAAGGCGGGCACCACCACTGCCTGGCAACACTTTTTTTTTTTTTAAAGGACAAAGTTTCACATATTCTTCTTTGGGTTTAGAGAAAAGCCAAGACAATACAACCCAAGTAAAAAGCAAATTCCTCCAAGTTCAGTAATGAAATGTGATCACTGTAGTAACAGATATTTGTTGCTGTTTTCTTGGTCATTTGTCTGTTTCTTGGTTTGCTTTGAGGTAAGGTCTTTGCAGCCCAAGCTGGCCCCAAACTCAGGGCAATTTTCCTGCCTCCGTTTCTGGAGTGTTGAGGTTATAGGTGTGAGTTCATGCATGGTTTAGCAGTTGATTTTTTTTTAATGTTATATCTGCAATTGAATAGTAGGCAGGTGCCAAACCAAACCTGGCCGTGAGGACCTACCGTGACTAGTCTGGAAGCATCCATGTTGTTAGAATGAAGAATAGCAAGTAAAACAA